ACACCCACACCCACACCCACACCCACACCCTCCAATGTAAGGTACAAGTAATGCAAAACTTGAGCACTCTTTATTTTTAGCTAAAATTTATATCTTTAGATTCAGTTTTAAAGGGTGTGGATGTGGGTGTGTGTGGGTGGGTGTGGATGTTGGTGTGTGGGTGTGGATGTAAGTGTGGGTAATTAGAAGATACACTCCAACACACATACATCCACACCCTGGACTGGGGTTATGCGTTGCTGGTGCCCACCTATAGACAAAAATTATCCACACCCGAATCGCTGTTCTTTAGATCAGCCCTATACAAAACACAAGTTTTTATGCTGCGAAAAACACCCAGAGCATGGAAGCCAACTGCCCACATAAAGGAATAAAGAAATGCTCTTTTGTGCACTGCATTAAAAATAGCTCTATCCATAGATATCAGCATCATGTTAATAAATCATTATAGTAATATCTATGATGCTAGCAACATCAAGAACACTTTAAATCATGCAAATAAATATTCATTTTTCTCACGTTCAATTGTGAATATAGATTAAGACAAAACTATCATAGCACTCATATTCTTCACTGCTTTATTTTTCGTGGTTTTCACAAAATACTAACTGTTAGAGAATTTTATTTCAGCATGAATTTATTTCAGAATAGGATTCTTTGTTAGAAAATGACTTTAAGTAATCACTCAAAGTAGCAAAGATCTTTTCGTTTACATTCCACGCCACCAATATGGAACAGCTCCATCGTTATTTTGTGAATTCCAAGCAAAATTTCGTTGGCCTAGTAGAAATAATTCCTGTGCTCTTGCTTCAAGCCGACTATCAGCTGCAGCATACCGAGCTCTTACATCCATGCCTCTATAGCCGGCTTGATTCATCTGCGTTACAATATTATCTTATATGCATCGGCCATGTTCATCAAGTCGCCGATTAACATTAACAGACATGCCAGAGTTGAACTGTTCCGATACAATGATGTAAAAATAAACTTTTAATGTGGAACATACTAAGTAAAAATATATCATATTCGAATAAAATAATATTGAGTTGTGGGTCTCCCCATACCAGATGATGTCATTATTTGATATACACCTGAATTCTAGTAAAAAGTAAGATTACCAATAAAGATAGATATTTTTTATCTGGGCCGCGAGGCGCATCTGTCCCATTATAATATTGCGAACGCCCTTCGGTCAGTACCTCTGAAGATGAGAATTTTGGTTGTTCAAATAAATTATATCGTCCATCTCTGGAACCATCTGAATTGAGAACTTGCGGCATTCTGTATCGTTCATCACGTTTACCATCATTTCTTGTCACCCATCCAACATCGGCTAATGATCGCGACATGGTCGATTATGATAATATCGTTGTGAACTGTTGAAATGATATTCACAGCAGTCTATTCTGAAAAAGATTCATTTTTATATAGATGTAATAGAGTTGGGTAATTTCACACTCTGAAAATAACCCAAGCCATTGAATTTTTTTCGTTTCGTTCGTTAAAATTGTTTTTTCGTCATCGTCTACCAATAGTTGCGTATGCTGGTAGTTCTTTTATTTGAATAATGTGCAACAAAGTCAGATTGAGGCAAAATAAAATTCTTCATGTTGCCATTCATTATTTTTAAACTGATTGATCGAATGCATTGTGAAAGAGTAAGAAAGAAAATATTGACAAATTGTAAACATGAGAAAAGGAACCAGCAAATTCATCCATAATCACAAGGTATGAATGTGCCATGAGTGTGACTGAAGGGAGGCACCAATAGTGATTTTTGGCGCGGAATCACTCGGGGTAGAAAGTGGTTGGGTGCAGGTGTGCATGTGAGGTATTGGTGTGAGTGTGGTTTGTA